CCTGCCAATAGTAGCGTTTGTTCAGATAGAGATTTAATATGCGCTGTAGCATTTATTTTTTTTTCTAGTGTTCTAAAAGTCTTTTATGAGTCTGGGTTTGCTCTCCAGTTTGCAAACAGGATGGTGTTCAAATAGAGGAATGAGGATTTTTCAGGTCTTAAGCCCATGTGGATGAAAGAGAGGAGCTATCAGTGAAGCTGACGTAGTAGGTAGGGCTCCACAGAGAAGGGGGCGGCAGAGCTCAGGATGGCACTGCTATAGGAGAGAAAGGGACAGCAGCTGTGGAGGGCACGGTTTAACAGGGGCCAGTTGGAAAAGGAAGACTCTGATGCAGCCATCATTTTGACTTCTGTTTTCACTGGAACTGCACTGAACCATCTTCAGCCCAAAACTGACCAGAAGGACTGCACAGGTCGCCTATTTGTGTTTTGTTTCTCATGAACATCTGCTAGTGGTCTATCTCCCGTGGCCCAAGGGGAAACAACTGACTTGCCTTGGAAATTTTGCTGGTACCTTCTAGTCTAAGGTAGAGTAATGAGGCTTGCTGAAAAAGGATTTTTTTTTCGTCTGCTAATTATGAAATCAGTGCATGAGAAGGAGTTGACACGTTGGGGTTGCTCTCGTATTTCATGTCTTACACAGATGCCAGTAAGGTCTGTAAAAATTGTGTTCCACTTGTGTGACATCTGGCTCAGAGGCAGGAATGAGCGCTCAGCTGCAGTAGTATTTGGAGCGCTACTCCATGCCAGCTTTGTAAAGACTCCCCCATTTCCTGTTTCTATTTTGGAAGAGCTAATTCCTCTCCAGCAAGCATCTGAGCAGCTGTTCTAGCATCAAAAACAAGTAAGCAATTGGTATCAGCTTGTGTTTACGAGCAGATCTCTTTTAAAAGCTGGTCAATAAACCTGAACGATTATTTTCTAGTGACTGTGCAGCTATAGAAATGGGAAAGCAAATTCTAATCAGTTAGTGAGGCCGGGTCCTAAGGCATATGTTGGCTTCATTTCATGATGAGGCAGAGTAAACAGGCCACGAAACTGAACTAGGGTCAGAAGCTATCAGTGGATCTCCGGCTCAAACGGCTCAGCTGTACTATTTCCCTGTCCGAAACACTAGTGTGAAGAGGGCCTTTTCAATAGGCCCAAAGACTCTTCAAGAAGATGATCTCTGCTTTTCATAAAAGAATCTTGCATAGCCTTGACTGAACTCTGGCAGCTTTTAAATGCATGCTTTAAACCATCACAAAAGTTTGCAGAACTGTGACTGTTACTACTTCAGTACCTCCCTTCGAGTGGGATTTGTAAGTGTCTGTTACCTATTTGCAACAGGTGGATATATATCCAAGGTGGATACATTGCTGTTAAAGCTACTCATGATTATTGCTCCTCTTTTAGGCCTCTGTGGCTTTTATTCGCAGAGCTTTAGAGCTGGCTGGGGTCCCTGACAGAAGCACTGTTGGGACATTTCACATGTATTCTGCCACTGCCGAGAAGTTTTCACTTGTCCTTCAGGCTGCATGTGCCATGAAGGCAAAGCAGCCTCATACATCAGTACTGAATGCAGCCTCCTGGAGAGCAGTTGTTTTCTTCAGAGTAATTATTTCCTAGTTCCTTTTTGCTTCCTCCTCCCCAATTGATCACTTTCATTGTAATACAGGTTGGTCTGGGAATTTCCTTAGAACAGAGTAAAATTCCTAGGCATCCATTTGCAGTTTAGGACTTCAGTCTCCAATAGGATCGGGAGGAGGTGGCACTGACTTCCGAGAAGTATGGAGGTATTATAAGACGCTGTTGGTTGTCGTTTTAGCAATGGAACGATCACAGTAATCTAATGGCAAATAATTGGAGAGTTTCAGGCCAAGAAATTCATTGGTGCTTCTTGGTTATAAGACTCCTAACAGAAGAGTGGTATTACAAAGTAAAGCTGTGCAGTGGTGTGCTAAAGGGCCTGAAGATTTACAGTACTGCATTAGGAAAGAAATGTTACCTAGCTTCTGTGTCCTTGTCCTTTGGAAGAGGCCACCTCTAAGTGTGAAAATGTCACTGTATTTTCAGTCATATTCATTGCTTACGACATCACCAGCTGCAGAATATTTTCTAACCTGTTCTTAGTTGCGTCATTGTTCATGGTTTGGTGTGCTCTAAAAATAGAGTTCTGAAGGGAGGTCTGAAATGAGGACTGCTCGTAGTTTCTGCACAGCTGAGCTGGTTAGTGATACTACTGAGTTTTTCTTTCATGGGTTGTGCTGTGTGAAAACCACAGATTGCTTTGTCTTTGTGCAGACTTTTACTTTAGACTGGTCACCCTCCTGACGCTTGTTCTACAGATTTTTTTCTTTTCTGTTTTGCTCTTTCAGTACAGTGCTTGTGTTTTATCAGTCCCATGCCCTGATCTTCAATAAATGCTGTGTTAGGATAGAGATCTCGATAAATTGTGGTGCTGAGTAAATTAATAAGTGTAAGCACAATGTATATAGGCTATTGTGGAAGAAATTAGTTTCTGTTCTGCGGTTAAAAAAAAAAAAGGAAAGTCATGCCTCTGTTTTGTGTAGAATTATCCTTATTGTCTTGTATTACCTCTTGACTCTCGGGTGAAAAAGACACAGGGTTTTGTTCAGGGAAGCCTTTGTTGTAAATGCCATTGTCCAAATGAATCAATGATACTGGAAGTGTTTAGAAGTAGAATAATAAACTCATGGAAGTGCTGGAAGGATTTTGGTGAGTTTCTTCCCTGTGTTAAACTGATGATTTACTGCTGAGAAGTTTGAGCAAAGCAGGCCTTGAATTGGTATGGGTTTGTGTATGGGATGCCGTGGAGTCCTAGTCTTTAAGCACACGTGTAAAGAAAATAGTTTAAAGAAACTAGTTTGTTCCTCTAGCCTGGCATACTAGATTGTAAAACATTTCTCTCCAATGAGCATGCTTGATTTTGAGCTGCTTTTAAAATGTTTCTTCCAAACTTCCAAGTTTTTGCCTTTTGGTTAGTGTCACTTGTAAGGTGTGCCGGAGGGCACCCAGACATAAAAAAGAGCGTAGTTTAGGATTCCTCTCCTCTGCAACAGACCCAGTTACTTCCAGTATTTGCAGGGCTTAGAGCCTGCTGGTATGTGCTCCCGCTAAACATGTTTATGTTTTTGAGACATCTGGTGAGTGTTCTGTGATTCTGTGAGGTTATATTCTGCTCTGCTCCTGTGGGAAAGTTACACTATTGGCCATAGGGCTTTATTAATTGTCACAAAATGAGCGGTTAATTCCTGACATCTGTGCTGAAGCGACTGCCAAGTAGAGCTGATAGTTGGCAAGGAAATAAATATTGATAGACCGTAGCAACAGGTACCCCTGAGAACTCTCATTCTGGGAACGCTTAGGCGGGGTCCAGCGCTATGAATGTTGTGATAGCATTTTAAGTCTAATTATAGATTTGTTTGTGTCTTGTCATGTCTCTCAGAACTAGAATGCATGAATGGACTTTGCTGTACCAGGGCAGACGTGCATCATACCCTTTTCTGATGACTCATTTCAACATATAAGAGATGTTTCAGTGTACAGATCTCTAGGATAGTTGTGTGTACACTGATGTATGGCATCTCAAGTAGTGTTCCTACCTAAACTGCCATATGTTTGATATCTACCCTATATTGGAATGACTACTCCAAAGGTATGCGCGTGGAAGTGTGTCAGCTAGCTACAAGTATATTAGCAAAACTTTCATATATAAAATCCTTTCAGAATCCATGAGACAAAATGAGCTTTCTTAAATTGTAAAATCAGGCACTGGTCACTAACCCTTGTGAGCGCTGTAGGTGATCAATTTTGTGCTTTCATTGCAGAAATTGAAGCCAGAGAAGCCTGCGACTGGCTGAGGGCTGCTGGTTTTCCCCAGTACGCTCAGTTATTTGAAGGTATGATCTGAAAGACTTTTCAAGCAGATGACACCCAACCCAAGCAGAATTGTTTACATAAATAATCCATCAGAACCTGACACTTTTGATGAAGCCCTTCTAAATCCTGCCATGTCTTCGTTGAAAAGTTGTGAAAAATTTGCAACCCGATTTGTGTTCTTACAGAAGTGACATCAAAACTACATTAACGTGGACTCAATAAAATCCCATAAAGGACCAAATACTTCCTAGTTATTGTTAGACGGTAACTCCGCCAAATTTCTGCTCTTGTGATTTGTAATTGCTTATAATTTTCTCAATCTCCTTTCCGTAGAGTGTTATTTTTTCTAATTTACTGACTGCAACCATAATTCATGTAAGGCCTCTCCAGCCCGAGATCTTGAGCAATATTCTGAGTGATGTTTTGAAAAGGAATGTTGGAAAAATCATCTTGCAATCATAAGTTTTTCAAACAGATACTCAGAAGCAGCCAACCATAGTCACATATCACAATATCAGCTTGTTTTCATTTGGTTAATAAGCCACAAAAAGTGCACGTTACTCATGGGGGAGAAATGGATGCATCGTGAACTCATATAATTTTGAGACGACTTCTGCATATACATTTCTGCGTGTACCTTAAAACTGTTCTTCTTTTATATATGTATTTATTGTTACAAACATGGAACATACTCTTAACGAAAGCTAATCTATCTTTAAGATTAGCTAAGATTTTATCAAAGAACTGCAGTTCAAAGAACCAGCAGCAACTACTGCGAGCTCTTGTACCCACTTCCCCTATTCAATGCAAAATTAAAGCTTGGAAACTGAGCACTCAGGAAATGCAGAGCTAAATGTGAAAACTCTGTACCCTGAAACATGGTGTCCCGTGATAATGCTTCTCATTGGACTGCAGCAGATTTTACAATATAAACTCTGAATTTTACGGTTTGTTGACAGTATATATTGTCATGCTTTTGGATGATGAAACCTCTGTATTACCTTGCTATTTAAGCAGAGTCCTGGCTTGACTAGATAACTAAGCTTAAAAAGTAAACCAAGAAAGTATTGATGGATCTCACTGGTTCCTTTATCTGTAAAGGCAAATCTCAAAAGCTGGAACATCATTGAACTCTTCAGCTGATGTATCGATTAACTTCAAGCACATCATGTTTTGTCAGGCTCATTACACCTCAAGAAGAGGTAACGATGTGCTGCATTATACCTTACCATCAGCAAAAGCTCAGGTAATATACTCCTAGTTTTATACTATGTTATAAGGTAGGAGCGCAGGGAACCAAAACAAAGCAAAGCTTTCCTTTTAGCTATGGGTTTAGATTTATTTAAACTATGCTAAATATGTAGCCAATTGAAAGTCTTTGCAATTATAACTCAGATCTCAAACTCTGGATAATTTTTTTATTCACAGATATGCAGTTTCCTATTGATATAAAAACTGTGAGGAAAGATCATGAATTTTTAGATGGAGATGCCATTGAATCCCTTTTCAGGTAAGTATTAATTATGAAGCATCCTTGGTGCCTGACTCCAGAAGTTGTTTGTCGTTCCTCTTTTCGTAGCTGAGTTTTTGTCAGAGACTAAGATGTTCCCTAGTGCTCCTAATGAAGGAAATCACTGAAGCACATCCCTAAGTACCACCGAAGTTGATTGATTTAAGTATTTGAAGGTAAAATAGGCATGTACCTACATGTCTTCTACAGCCAAGGTCTCAGTGATCTTATAGTAAGCCTCGAGTCTGTCTCTTCTGCGGTGTGAAAAGGTTTCTACAGGCTGAGGAGGAATAATCAGTTCCCTGCATGCACATGGTAGGATGCCAGTTTCCTCTTCAGAATTAGATATTACAAGGTACAAGGATTTTCTCTGAATTGTGAGCTTCTACACAAGCTCACAAGATGTTCCAGAGAGATAAACAGCAAAAACAATCTGCAAAAGGGATGCTTTTTCTGTTTTTTTTTTCCTGACTGTTTTATTGAGTGAAGAGCAAAGGTGTTGACCTACAGCTTTTTGTTTTACCACGGTTGTTCACAACACAGAAGTGAAATTGCATTGTTGGTGCAAAGTAGAACTCATTGCTCTGTGGGCTTCCCCGACGTAGGATAGCAGTAGAGGAAGAACAAAGTACACCGCAGTTACTGAAGCTTTCTCATTATGAACTTGCTTAGCAGGTTATGTGAACTCCCTCCTATCCATGCCATGCTGCACAGTCAATCCAAGGGAGGCAGTGAGAATGTATAGCTCTTAAAGGAAAGAGAAATTACACTTCTGGCAAAATGGCTGGGTCCTTGTTTGTGAATTCGCCTCAATTCAAATGCTGCTTGTTGGGAACTCCAAAAGGAGTCGTTTGTATATACATCCCTAATGCACAGCAGATATTATTGAGAACTTAGGATATATTTTCTTTCTTGATATCAGGTTTGTCCTGAATGTTTCTTGCAGGCTGCCGGCATGCCTCCCTGTTGATGTTGCGTATTTGTTTAACCATTAAGAGTTTGTCTGATTTGTGACCTTATTGTCTCGTAAGTTTTAATTAAAATGATAGATAGTAAAGTCCTTCCAAGGATGCAAGTTAATGTCTTCAGTTGTCTCTGTTCTTTTAAGATGCTGACCCAGGCTTTTTTCATATTCTTAAAATGAAAAGTCTTAGATCAATGTATAGTTTTTCACAGTCATCACCGAAGGTCATCATAATATTTTGATTGACCTAATTAGTTATGTTCCTCTTCTCTAATTTTATGATGGCAGAATTGGAACTGTGAACATCTTGGAGTAGTTAATGGGCACTGATGTGGTAAAGTATATGGAGCTCCTATAACAAAGTGTTAGTCTTTGATGCCAGTTATGCAAATTCCATTTAGAAGTTCACAGCTAGTTTGGAGTGTGTCTGTTTTTAAGAAATAAAGTAATTTAAATTTAAGACTTCAGTCTTTTTTCTTATACCTAGACGGCTGAACATATTGAACAAGTGTGCATCAATGAAAGTGGAAATCAGCCGTCAGAGGAAACGGGTATGTTTGTAAAATATAGCTAATGTTCTCATGAACAGTGTGATTAGCTGTTCTACTAAAGAACTGTTTTTAAAAGGTATGTGAAGGTATAGCAATTTCTGAACTTTTCTTTCTGTTCTCTTCCATCTTGTATCTGCATTTTCCATTAAAAGTCACAGTGATGGGGGCTGAATCTTTATAGAACTTATGTTTGTTTTGGAACTCTGTCAGCTGGTTAGGAGGGGTTTTTTTGACACACATTGCTGGCCAATAATTGCACCAAGGACTCACCTCAGCATATGTTTTAATGCTTTCCTAAGTATTTTCACATCTTATTTAAGATCTGAAAGTGAAATTTCACTCTTCTTATTGCCTGAAGGAGGGATAAGAAATGAAAATGGACGAGGCAGTATTGTCACAAGCTGTATTTTTAGGATTGGATGAGTTTTACCTGTGCTGTGAAATTTGGTTGGGATTAATTTGTCTGTTTGTTTCTCAACTGACAGCACAGCGCTCAGGACAGACCTTCAGGTTCAATGTATAACAAGGGTTACATTTCCATATGTAGGTGGTGGGGGTTTTGGAAGTAGGCAGAAAATTTAAGTAAGTCACCTTTTTTGTTACATCTACAGTAATTTAAAGTTTACCAGACTTTGCCCTTGAAATCTTTTTTTTTTTTCCCCTCCTAAGAGTGATGAATCTGAAGATGATGAACCTTGTGCAATAAGTAACAAATGGGCTTATGAGAGACGCAGTCAGAGATGGTCTCGTCTTGAGAGCCTAGAAGGTTTCCCAGGAGAGGAAGGTGCTAGCGCATCAATCCCAGGCAGTCCAACACCGAAGAGCATCGGCAGCGAGGATATAACTTGTTTGGATCATGGCGAGAAACATGATGTGTCTTCAATTCACAGTACTAGCAGTGGTGACAGTGACATTGTTAGCTTTCTGAAACCTTTTGAAGGTGTGGAGACCAGGAGCTGTTCCTCAAGGTGTTCCTCAAGTAAAGTGGCTTCACCAGACTCTACCTTTAGTTGTTCTTCTCCCCCCGCTGGACTTTTAAATACCACCAGTGAAGAGAAGCTTTTGGATAAGTCACCGTATAAAAAGGGGAAGAGCCTTCTTAAGAAAATGGAGAAGTTACATTTAAGGAGCTGCAACTTAAGGAGCGGTCACTCCAAGGCCAAACCCTTAATAAGTGAACCTGTTCTTCTGGAAGGGCTGAACGAAGAAAAGTTGAAGATGCTTAACTGCGTAAATATTTCTGACCTCTCTGACATCCAGACAAAGAGCAGTTCCTCTTATTCTCCCCAGAGCTGCAATAGCAGCAACCAGTCTGAAAAGAGCAGCACAGGGAGCATTCCGAGTCCCACTACAAAATCACAAAGCCACTATAAAAGAGGGGGGTCATACGCAGAAGACTTGGATTGCAGCAAGCTTTTGCTGTGGAATGATCAATCTCAGCAAAACCTACAAAATGAAATGAAGTTGCAAATGAACCAGATGTTTCAAATACCACAAGGCCATAAGCCTGGTAGTTTCCCCAAAGCACTTGGAAACACCTCCCTGTCTCCAGGAGACAACCCTTCTGTCAACTGGAGAACTGAGAGTTTTCATGGGTGCAGCAGGACCAGGAACAGAAGCGGTTCTAAGGACTGCAAAGCCCCCAGTAGCCCCCTTTTGTGTGCAAATAGCAGGCTGAGCATATATGACAACATGCCCAGTATTCAACTTGATAAGTTGGAGGTGGCAGAAGTTGGTGATGACGATGTTTTTTCAGAGCTGAACCACGTTATAGAGGATGTCAAAGGCCTCAGAAAGTTGGTCCATCAGTGGACAGAGAAGTTCTCGGATGATGGGGACTCGGACTTTGCCGATGACTTGACCTCTGTGTATCCATACTTCCCTAAAGAAATCTGTCTTGAAATACAGCACTCAGAAGATAAGTCAGCAGACTTCCCAGTTACCGAGGGAGAGAGCAGCTGTGAACTGGCCGAGGAGCTCAGTTCCGCGGAGGTGGCGTACGTAACAGACTCTAAAAAGGCCAACAGGTTAGCCATACTTGGGTTTCACTAGTCGGCCGCCCATCTGGAAGCTTTCTCCGGCTATTCTCTCTACTCAAAATGTAATTGCTTTCATACAACAGAATATTCTTAAGTCTATTCCAAGTAGCAGGGTGTGCTCCGCTGGTCCTAGGCACTGCTGATCTGTATACACTCAGATATCTACGTTTGCTTTGATCTCTGTTGAGAGTAGCACTGTCATAATCTGCAGGAGGACCTAGTTAGATATTTCGAATCAGACTTTATGACTAGGTTGCTGTGTTTCTTATTGAAACCTTTTGTGTGGCTATAGTACCTCCTGGATGAGAAATAGCTTGTTTAAATGCAGCTAACCATAAACTGTTTGGGAACTGCAGGTCATTTAGAGTCTTAGGCATTTCACAGATGCAGGCAGAGGACTGACAGGGACAGTGGAAACAGTCATTTACCTTGAACAATGTTTATCCCTTAGGCACAGAAAGCAACCCTGGCCTATGGAAGAGAGCGCGAATTTGGAAAGCCTTTCTGTCCAAATTGATAGTCAGTCGGCTGCCCACCTAGCCCGGACACAAAAGCTGGCTTTGTTGAAACTCACAGCTCTAATGGACAGATACTCCCCTTCCAGTAGGCAGAGCTGGAACTGGTAAGTTGTCTAATATTAAAGCTTTTGTTTTATAAAACAGATTTAAAGCTTTGTTGAATTTTGTTGGAAAAAAAAAAAAAAGGATTGAGTGTAAGTAGGTGAATTTCCTTGTCTACCCAGGTTACAGTGTCCAAGATGAGGAATTTCATCCTGTTAAATCCCTGGCAGTTTTGTGGTTATTTCAGTGGTTGTTCCAGGATTATTATTATTCTTCTCCTGGTCATTCCAGGATTTCCTCTGTTATGGAGTGCACTTTTGTTCCTCTCTGGTAGTCATATTGTTACTGATTTTAAAAGGGTGTATAGTTTCTCTGTAACCTTGCCCGTTTGCTTGGCTTTGTAAGCAGGCCCTTCGTAGAGATTGACATGAGGTGAGAGGGGGCTAGGCTGAGAATCCATGCCTTCAGCTTCAGGTCCCGGTTTGAACTGAAATAATGACATGCCAGTAACTCCTAAGACTTTGGAAACATCACTTTGCATCTTGTGGTTGGGATCTCGTACTTGAATTTAGAATGAATGAAGTGCAAAAACGGTTGCAGTGCCCTGAAGGGATGGAGCATATTTCACATGAGAATGTCTTATTAAAGCAAATTTCAGTTTTGAAATGAGGAGATCATTCCTGCAATTGCCGTTAATTGTTTTCTCTCTATCATATGATGCCACATGTACAGGTATGTGGCAACATTTGTGGGTGCTGCAAGTGCAACCAATGCATGGTTGTACTTTCCCATGCATGTTGTAAAAAGAAAGTAGCAGACAGAACGGTGCTGGAGAGCTGATGAGTTGAATGCACTTGTTTCTGTTTTCAGGACTATACCAAAGTTCATTAAAAAAATAAAAGCCTCTGACTACAAGGACAAAAATGTGTTTGGGGTTCCTTTGCTTCTGAATGTTCAGCGAACAAATCATCCGCTGCCTAAGGGCATACTGCAAGCACTGGACTATTTAAGAAGCCACTTTCTGGACCAGGTATGAACATGAAGCAGCCTAAAGTAGCTCTGGCTACTCCAAAGGAACCAATCTCTGCTTTCAGCTTTTGTGAGGGACTTTCTTGCCTCCTTGGGCTCTGAAAGGGCAGAAAGGTGTAGGTCTGACTAGGCAGCCTGCAAGGAGTTGCCTGGGATTACCTTTAGTCCTATACTGTGTTTTCTGCCTTGCCTTGCTAAAATCATCTGCAGTCAGTTCGCTTGGTGCAGGTAGTTAAACAACATTTCCTGGTAAGGTAGCATCTCCCTGCCTCCTTAGGAAGTAAATCTATCACGCGGTGTCTTTCCTCCCTCTGTTCTGTGGTTGTTGGTAGTGCTAGAGCCTATGTGATAATTAGTCTTGTTTCAGCTGAAATGCACCACTAAGCAGAGATATAACATATTAGAGCAGAGCTTGTAATATCTTTTTTTGGATCTCAGCTCCGCATTTCCCACTAAATGGCAATATATGCATGGAGGTGAAAGTGTCCGTTGCATATGTTATTTCTGTAGCAAAGGTGCAAAAATGGGAGACCCCATGTCGTGGTACATACTAGTTAAAGATCTTTTTTTTTTGTTTGCTATGCTTTGCAAATGTATAGGTGTGTAATATAATGCCAAAGTACAAAAATGTGTGCACTCTCTGAGGTTACCATGCAGTTAGGTGGCATGCACTTGAGTGTGAGCAAACAGTTTCTGGTGAGGGCAGCATGTTTCATTTCGAGGTCATGGTGTCTATGCAATTAATATAACTGACCAGTGAATATAAATACTGTCACAGTGACACACTGTGAACCTTTCAGGAGAAGCTTTGTTAAGGTCCATTTCAAGGGAAACTTCTAAGCCTGGGTTTTGCTTGAAATTGGATTGAAATTTATATTAAAAATAAAACCATAATTCCTCTCAGAATGAAAATTACCCCTTGATGACCTGTAGAGGTATGTGCACCTTAAACCTGAGCCTGGTGGATCTCATGGTCTGAGTATGTTTTTGCCAGCATGAGTGTCAATGTACATTTGCTTTTGGCTGAACACACATTGGTCTAGTAGAAGCTTGCAGCTCTAATGTGTGGAAAAAAGTCCACTCAAGCCGGCAGAGAGATGTCAATAGAAATGACTTTTAAAAGGAGAAAAGCGTTTTTGGATTAAATAAAAAGCAAACAAACGTGGAAATTGGTACCTCCCTCATAGCTGGTTCTAGGGACGTCAGTCAGGGTTTGCCCAAAAGGGCCTGCCGGTCCTGATGATAAAAAAATACTTTAATGTTAGATCCTGCCACCGCGGGGTCTTACCTATCAAAAGGAAAGTGAAGGATCAGTTACTTGTCAGAGATTTGAGTCCTGATAAAGCCTCTCTTTGTCTTTATTGTTTTCTTTCATTGGTAGGTTGGTCTCTTCCGAAAATCCGGTGTTAAATCCAGGATCCTATCTTTGAGAGAAATGAATGAAACCAACCCGAACAATGTATGTTATGAAGGGCAGTCAGCATTTGATGTGGCAGATATGGTTAAGCAGTATTTCCGAGACCTTCCTGAACCCATATTTACTAGCAGGCTCTGTGAATCCTTCCTCCACATCTACCAATGTAGGTAACAGTAACAAAAGCTATAATTTCCTAATTTCTTGAATAACTTTATGTTACCTTCAATATTCAGCTAGACGGTCAGGGCCTGATTTTTCACGAATTGGGACTGGTGCTACTCAGAGGAGGCAGATCAGGCTGGACATGCCTGAAAAGGTGAGCTCACTGGGGCTCTAGACTTAAGAGACAGTGTGTGAAAATAGCTGGATCTAAAGCTTCCTTCTGTCCTTGGAAGACGGAGTGGGAGAGACAGTATAATAACAAATGTCATAACAGCCCTTCTAAACTGGTATTTTTAAATAGTCATTATGTGTTTAAAATTAGGAATGAAGCTCATCCCCTTGTTCATGGTATGAAGTAGCTCCCTGTGCAAGAAGCCATGTTATATTGATGAAATCACTTTATTAAGGTGCTCAAGGACAGTCGCTATGAAATGGCATCTTTGTGTGGAAACACCAGCCAGTTTCCACCTGTGCTATCACTGTCACCATCCTTGAGCCTCAACCTGAAAAAAGAAGGTAACCTGAAGCCAAACTCTAGCATTGAATATAGTTTTAGAAAGGTTCCATCGCCAATACTTTGACGTCAAGGTATTCACTTTTTAAAAGTGACCAGGGTGGGGAAGTAGCTTGCCATAGAGGCGTGTGTTGAAACAGGCAAGTTTGTTCTTTTTTTTTAAGACAAGGTTTTGAAAATGTGAGATTTCTGAGAAGACTGGTTTTTAGCCTGTATTATGTTGCTTTCATGAACATGAGCGTGTGTGCTGCTACTGTCTTGTGTATGGTGTAAGATCTTGAAAATGTAGTTGGATTTTATTTTTTTAACCTTAAGGGGTTTCAGGATTTTGTCTGAAAAGGTTTGTCTCCTCCTCACTCCCTCTGTGAGGAGTTCCACAGTTCTCCCGTCTGACTGATGTGGAACCATTACCTTCCGTTTAGTCTAAACCTGGCCGCTGGCCACCCCCTGGGCTTTTGGGAGCTTTTGCTGGGAGACAGCAAATGATAGAACCTTATTCACCCTTCTTAGGCCACATGTTACTTGAGCAAGTGCCCTATTTAAATAACCAGAAATTTGGGAGAAAGGAAAAGTCATGCTTCTGCCAAGAGGTATATTTTGTATATTCTGCATGTGTGCCCCTACTAAAGGGAAGAGACGTGCTGCTCTACGCTTTGTAATGATGAATAAAAGGAGATAATATCTTTGTGATAGGGGATGAATGGCAGGGTAGACTTGACCATACCTACTGTCCAGCAGAAGCTATCCGGACACCTAGTCCCACTGTATTTCACTGCAAATTAAAATATGTTGGCAAAACATTACTCAGTGCTTGCCTCCCAAACCTGAGTTGTCTGAGGGCATCTATTGTCTTCGTGGCCTGAAGCTAAAAAGAAAAGATAGTGGAGTAGGTATCTAGCTGCTCCAAACTATTGTTCCAGAGTAATGTTTTGTGGGGAGAAAAGCCATTGTTTGGATTATAACAAGAGCAAGTTTAGAGCAAGTTTTTTAGCATGAAGTTCAAGACAAGTTACAGCAAATCAAGCACCAGCATCACTGGATGTGAATGTGTGTATTGACAGGCGGTAGGAGAAAAACTGCTTGTGTGATGCAGCTGTAATAATGGCCTTAGCAAGCATTATTTATTGTGAGCTAGAGTGACAAGAAAATGGACGTGCCTACACTTTCAATGCCCTGCGTGGGACTGTCTTGACGGATGCTTCCTCTGCAGTTCACATGACATTTTCATGATTATTTTAATCCTCAGACCTGCCAAAGGATCAGCAGTTTCAGGCTGTCCAGGCTGCTATTCTCCTTCTCCCAAAGGAAAACCGAGAAGCTTTGAAAATCCTCCTATTCTTTCTCCGAGATGTGGTTGCTTTTGTTGAGGAAAACCAGATGACCCCCACAAACATTGCTGTCTGTCTCGCACCTTCTTTGTTTCACCTCAACACCCTGAGACGAGACAGTTGCTCCTCATCCGCTAGGTATGATTAGCTTAATGCTGGCATTGTTACTGTCAGGAGTGTTCCTCAATGCTGGATCAGTGCTTTCTGTAGCTGACATACATACATAAGATAAGTGGCTGTTAGTAAGCGGGGAAAAAAAGCGTACGTGTCTTGGGGTTTGTCTCAAATATGATCATTCAGGCCCATGCAGAGATCCAGCAACTCATTGGCCAGTGCCTAGAACTATGTTAATGCACTGTTGTGCTCCTGACTGCTCTAGATGCAAGCTAGCCTGACTGCCTTGCGACCATTGTACTCTTTCACATTGTCTGCAGATCCAGGTGCTGGAATTCAGCGTGCAGCACACTGTTTGCAGTAGGGTGGTGCCAGGGTTGGAAACACGGCTCTTTGCAGTGGTGAACTAAGCCCAGCTGCAGTCTTAAGGCCCTGCGGATAGCTGACAGTTTGTAGGGATCTCTGGCTCTGAATCTGCTAAGTGATAAGGTGATGGTTCCTGCCAAACTGAGCTACAGGGATTCTGTAAATTTATCTTAATGAGCAAAAGTATCTGGGTTGCGTAACGGCCTTCTGTTGTACGTGCGTGCGGGGAGGAAGGTGCCCTTAGGCCAAAGTAGTCAAGTAACCTCTGAGAGCATTCGTGCCTTATCTGGTCTCCTGAGGCAGGGCTGTTTGTTTGCTTTACTCCATGCTCCTGCATATCTATAGACACGTGTCAGAGTGCAGAGGCCAGCTGGTTTTGATGGAAACATTGTACACCATCAGAGCAGCCACTTACTTAATCTCCTCACATGGTGATCTAAAGATGAGACTAGGACTAGCTGCAGGGAGGTACAGAAACTGCCAGCTGTGCCTTTGGCACCTTTCAGGCTAACAGTGCAGTCTCTGGAGAGCACAGAGAGGGGAAAGAAAACACTAAGGACTTTTCTTTTGAGTGGCGCAAAACATCTGAAAAATGCCTGAGTGTAGCTAGAGTCCAGGGCTGCCAAGATCTCCCTGGACAGAGCTGACACATGGTGAGGGATCTGGTGGTCATTGCAAAGGGAGCTGGGAATGCGATGGAGCATTAGTGAGAGCCAGTCCTTCCTGAACTGCAGTTGCGTTTGGGCAGCAGGGAATCATACTTACGGATTTGTGCCTTTGAGATTTTTGGTTTACTTAGCTATTACGCTGCAATAATAGGACCAAAAATAGAAACTGACATTTCTCTTTGTTGTTACAGTGTGGAAGTGAGGTTGCTTTGAATTGTTAGCTTTTTTTTATAACTGAGCATTAATGGTTTAGTGAAGGTTTCATACTTCAAAGGGCAGAGGCTGACAGGTCTGACTTTGAGCAGCACAACTGGGGGGGGGGGGGGCTTTCCTTC